AAGACACTTCAGTTACTCAAAGCTTCGGTATTATATCTGGTATTTTCCTTTTTCCCCACTAACCCAGCCTTTAACATAATCTTGGTTGTATTTTGATACAACAAACATGACACATGAATTTTGCATGGAATGTTTTAGAATTTATTTTTATAGTATGTCATAGCTGCCATCAGAATCACAAAACCCACTAGAAGATTATTTAGATCAAACTAATGATTTCTTTTGTCATCATCTACAGCAACACAGTAAAGCAAGAGGTGTTATTGAGAATACGTCTCAGAGAATGAGGAAGTGTATCTCATGTACAAACACAAAACATATCAAGTGTTTCAGACACTTACACCTGAAGAAATAGATCCTTTTGCCATCTTCTCAAAGCCGAGTGCCAGAACACAGTCTGCCAAACCTTAAAATAAAATGTGGGGCTATTTAAAGCACAATGTGATTATAAATGACACTATGTACTAACAACTAGTCCATTACAAGATATGTACACAAACACCTAGCAGCTGCTCTTCGTTCCTCCTTCATTTTTGAAAGAGTCAAATTAAGATGGACAAGATATTGATACAAAGACACTGATACCTAAGAATGAAAGATCACTACAGGATTGGGGTTTGACAGCAACTCTCATAGACAACCAAGCATTTATGTCTCAGCTACAAATGCTAAACAATCATACCCAGTGTTACTACAGTTCTCATTACAGAAACATCAGCATCAGTGTAAGAAAGTATCAAAGTCCACAAAGGAACTGCAAAAACAGAAGGAAATACTCATCTGCCAGTTCAAAGCACAGTCTGTCAGTCTGCCCTCTCTCACCCCCTCCAAAAACGTGTTAGTTAAACACTAGTATTAACTTCAAGTTAAAAGAAAAAAGCTTTTTAAGCAGATTCTTCTTTCCATCCTGGTGAATCTAGTGCCTGCAGTACTACAATGCCACTTGTTCTGCACTCCTCCAAACAATTATTGAGAGACATTTAACTGGCAGAACTGACCAGGTTCATACAGCTCGTGACACAGGAAAGGGCATGGACATACACATCCTACTACATCCCAGACAATCTCTTAGGTGCACAGAGCAAAACAACCCACCTCCTTCTATAAGCTGTTTGGCCATGAACAAAGCAGTGGATCCAGTAGCACAGTTGTTGTTAACATTGATGATGGGAATGCCAGTTAGACCCAGACCATGGTAGATTGCCCTCTGCCCAGAGGTTGAGTCACCTTCAAATAGAAACACAACATTAAAATAAGGTACAAACTCACAAAAAGAAATCCTGCCATGTACGTGCAGTGCTACCAATTAAACTGTAAACTTGAACTTCTGAGCTGTCAGCTTGAGTATGGCTCTATCACAGTAAAGAACCTCAGAAAGAAGATGAAACTCCTCAGATTTTAAACCAGAAGTTTGTCCTGTTTCTGTTTCACAGGCTGTGAATCAAAGGGACATAACTGGATTGGACAGAAGGGTCTTAGAGGTATGGCTTGGGAGCTGCTCTAGGCATCACAGCAGACTGACCCTACTTCAGTTGCCTCAGTTGTTAATAGAGAACCAGAAGGAAAGTAAATAAAAAAATCAATTTGGAATGGAAATATATTTCCCCTTAATAGAAAGCTTATTGATGGCATTCCTCATACTTTATCCACACATCCACAGATGTCTGCAGTTGTCACAGAAGTCATATCCCAATCTAACAACAATACTCACCATAAACATAACCCACACACGCCTGCTTCACTGCTGAATAAGGAATCCCAGCATCAGCTAAAGCTGCCTGGCCTAAAAAAACAGTGTAAAAGTTGGAAAAAAAGTTTAAAATTGAAGGTATAAAAAAAAAAAGGCAGCTCTCACAACCATAACAAGCAAATCTAGAGTAGTATGTATGAGTCCTATTCACAAATGAGAGCTGTAGAAATTCCTTATTATATGGTGCAAATGGTTAATATATTGTACCTCATTAGGACAATTTCATACTCATAAGGACAACTTCACAGTATCTAGAATTTTGAACAAGCTTCTTTATCAGAAAATTTCACTCATTTAATTCTGTGTTCGTGCACCAAAGTTGTTCATCCCAATGAGAGTATGTTTTGAATAATATAGGTAAGTATTAAACTATTTAAGTTTAATACAATCCAATCATATTTTAAGCCATCCCGGCTTAAGCCTCAAAGGGCTGACCTGGACACGTCAGTTATGGATTTGGTGAAAGTTGTCTGAGTTTTAAATTTGTTTTTTAGATTTATGTCTTTATTGAACAGTAGCTTTCCCTTCACATGTGTAATAAAAATATTGGCTGTAACACTTAAAATAAGCGTCATCAATCAAACAAAATGCTTTATTACTAAATTACCTGCTTCCTTAGCCATTTCAGGATAATCAACACTCTCCTCATTAGGCTTTGAAAACTGACAAGAGAAAAGGAAGAAAAAACAAGCTGAGAATAAATCACAGTGAGATTTAATTAATATTTTGCTCAAATTGGTATATTTAAAAGCTTTATATTTAATTTAGAAATAAGTTTGAAATAATGCAAACAATGTCATTTCATCAGCCCAGAAGTGCATGTACAAAATCTTTACAATTCCCAAGTGCTGCTGCCAGACCCTGCAATGGCTGAAAAAAAAAAGAAAAGTGCAATTTTATGGGAGCTGAGGGGAATTTCTGGTCGGTGTTAAAGAAGACCCATGACTATGGAGATGGACAATAATCCTGTCCAAAGCCTGTGGATGGAACAGAGAATAACTGCAACCTTCACCGATTCATCGTAACACGTGACATAATATTCATGGAAGCTTTGATTAATACTTCCCTTCTACTTAATTTTTTTTTTGTTTTTGTTACACTCCTATTTGTAACAAGAAAATGTTTTCTCTTTGTAGAGAATTTATCACACCTTACTCTTCACCATTGGAGTAGAGGTGGCATTTCTATTTTCTTTGCAGTGTGACTCATTAGAGACCACCACAAGTACATGTGGTTTGCATTTCTACATCACTAACAGAAAGTGTCACTGCTAAAAGAAATCCTCATGTTAACTACTTATAGTCACACAAATTATTTGATGACACCTGTCATAGCATATAGAAGTCAATTTGCTGCCTCCTTCTGCATATCTCCCTGACTCCAGACATTTGTAGCACTTAGCAGTCCCTTACCACTTCCTGCAGTGCCCCCTTTTGTTAATTTAGACAGAGAACCTATACAGCAAAGGTTTTAAGAAAAAACAGTTGGTGAGCTGATCATTGTAGAAGTCTGTGAGAGGGATTGATAGTGCTTGTGCTAACAGAGAGGAGAAAAGAGTACTGACAACTCCTCAGGTCATGCTCAATTGGTAACTGAGATGATCCACTTCTGAAAATGCAGAGCACTGGGGAACTGACAGTTACACACATAGAAAACTGTGGACTGTTGTTGTGAGAAGATATAACAAATTTTAGCAGTCATTACATCCTTAATGTTAATCAAAGAGAAGCAATACAGTCCCAAAAGGTTTCATTGCAAAATACTTAAGATGTAATATGGACTCTGACAGGTTTTACTTGCCTCTTCCATGAGGACATCACAAGTGAGCTCAATAACTTCTATTACCACATTCTGTAATCTAGTCCAATAAACATAATTAACAGAATTGTCTTTAACCTTTCAATTCCTCCCCTATCCCATCACATGCTGGAGAAATACCCATGCAGCAAAAAGACAAAAAGTTATTATTTAAAAGGTGGCTGGGGGAGGAGTTTCTCACTATTCTGGAAAATAGCCAAGTTGTCTTAAGATTCATGTATCAAGACAAAAATAGTTCTTTTACTGTTCCTCTTTGAAAATCATAAAATCACTTAGGCTGGAAGAGACCTTTAAGATTAAGTCAAACTATTACCCCAGCACTGCCAAATTCAGCACTAAATCACGCCCCTAAGTGAAAACATCTTCGTGTCTTTGAATCCCCCCAGGGACGATGGTTCCATCACTACCGTGGGCTGCCTGCTCCTGGGTTTGACAGGCCTTTTGGTGAAGGAATTTTACTTAATCCTAATTCTGACCTTAAACATGCCTTGTGGAAACTTGAGGCCAACTCCTCTTGCCCCGTTACCTGGGAGAAGAGCCCCACGCCCACCCGGCTACCACCTGCTCCCGGGGAGCTGTGGAGCTGAGCGGGGCGAACCGTGCGCTCACAGCCCAAGGGCCAGGAGCAGAAACGCCGCAGGACAGACCCGGCAGGGCCCTGCCCTCCCTGAGCCCCTGCCCCGGGACGGGCCCTGGGCCAGCGGCTGCGGGGACACGGGGACACTGTGCCCGCTGCAAGGCTGTTGTATCGACCTGCTCTGTGAAGCACCACGTTCACCTTGGCCGGGGTCCGGCCTCCCCCACACCCCGAGCGAGGGTGAACTTTGCGCGGAGCCGCTGCCGCCGGGCCGGGACCGGGCTCTGCCAGCGCGCTCCTGAGGGGCCACCGCGTCCCGTGAGGGGCTTCAGCCGCACCGGGGAGGGGACGGGCGGCTCCCGCAGCACCTCCCCCTCAGCGCCGACAGGGGACAGCCGGGGGCCGCCGCCGAGGCCGGACTCGCGCGGGCCGCGTCCCTCCGCGCACACACGGGTGTCGGGGAGGACGGCGGTACCTTGGTCATGGCGACGCCCACCACGAACACCCGGCGCTCCATGACGGCGATGACCGCGGGACGAGCGCTACTGTCCCCACTACTGCTGCCGCCGCGTCCCGCGGGCCCTCAGACACGGCGGGGGCGGGGCCAGCGGGCGGGGGCGGAGCGAGGGGCCGGGGGCCAGACCCTATGGACCCGCCCCTTAAAGGCGCAGCCCTTCCCCTGCATCGGGCCGTGTAAGCGCTGCCGAGCTCCCTCTCCGGCGGCCGCTGCCCCTGGGAGGCGGGGCGGAGGTGCCGGTTCCGGAGCGGCCGTGCTGCGGCTGTGGCGGGCGGTGCCCGGGGCGGGGCGGAGGTGCCGGTTCCGGAGCGGCCATGCTGCGGCTGTGGCGGGCGGTGCCCGCGGCGCTGCGCGGGGCGCGGGGCCGGGCGGGCACGGCCGGGGTACAGCGGGGCTCAGAGGTGCTGCTGAGCGCGGCCGGCGGCGGTGAGTGCCGGGACTCGGAGTGCGGCTCCGCTTCTGCCAGGTCCTGGTGGAAACACCTCGGCCTGGCGTCAGCGTGGCCGTATGTTCCCAGCGCGACGCAGCCCGAGGGGGGTGACAGCCCTGCCGAGCGCGGGGCGCTCATTGTTGTTTTGCTTTCAGTTATGCCTTGTATAACCTTTTTTTCAAGAACGCTGCTGCTGAATGAATAGCTAGATACTTTTTTTTCTCCTAAAGTTATGTGTGCAGGAGACCTCAACGCAAGAAGTTCTGGTTTGTTTACTTCAGATTTTTCTAACAGCATTAACGTGCAGTGATAAAGGTGGGACAGGACCTTGACGTGTCTGTGCACATTTATTCATGAGAGCCACGAAGCAGTTTGAGGTTTGGTTCAGATTGCCAATGAATTTACTTTCTGTGTAACTGTTGCAGGAGCTTATAACCAGTTCTTGGTATTTTGCTGGTTACAAAGACATTGAGTAGTTACCAGCTGTACATTTCCTTAGCTGGTGCCCGCTGTTCACTTGTGTCTCATTTCCAATGTGGCACACCCCTGGTTCGATAGCTGGCCACTGCCATACGCAGAGGGATAAACAGACTTTCCAGCAGGGCAGAAAGACCAAGGCAGGTGTGAGGTACAGCTGTGCACCTACAGCACAGCAACAGCATCTTCCAATGTGAAGGCCTGGGAAGGGAGCAGAAGTCCAGACAAGGAAATAGGAGATGTTTTTTTCTCTCCAAAGCATACGGAAGCCATTGGATAATAATTTACAAATCACATGTGCAAAGGAGAGCTAGGTAGATGTTGTGGTTTTATTTTTCTGCTTGGACTTAGGAACTTTGAGTGAATTCCTTTCTGCTGATGAGCTTATAATGTTGAAATTAAATGGAGTTCAATTTCAAAAGGGTTCTGGAACATGAACTGAGAGTGACCTGTCTGTGCTGTTCACATGCAAACAGCAATCCCAAGAGGACGGTTTCCTTCATTAGGGAATGTATTTGAACACAGTAAGACTGTACAATAAAAAATAAATTAAGCAACATTCAAAGGAGAAACCTAAGATGAATCTTTTTTGTTTGTTTATTGTTTGGGGGTTTTTTTCCCCATTTCTGCAGTGATTCTAAGAAAAGTTCTTGGATGTCCTGTTCATTTTCTTTTCTAAAAGTCTGCTTACTTACAGTCTTCTACAGTGCTACTGAATTTCTCAGTTGTTCTGCATAACTGGATTTTGTAGACATGATGTGCCACCTCCAGTTTTAAAATAACTGATTGTTTTAGAACATACTTTATATGCATTTTCAGGAAGGAGAAGATGCAGCATATGCAGATATTATTCCCAGTTGAATTACTGTGTCAGAGAACTAAATGAAGTATAACTGAAATTGTCTCCTATTACTAAGGTATTGCTGAAATCCTAATGAACCGACCCCACGCGAGAAATTCACTGGGAAAAGTATTTGTAAATGAAGTGAGTATGGGCCTGGCCTGTGAGCGTGTTTGGAACCATAATCAATAACTAACTGCACTGAGAACAGTTGTGGGAAATCAAAAAAAAACTCATGTTGAAGGGAAGTGGGAGATGGCACTGGGGCAAGGCAGGTGAACCTGGAGAAAAACAGATTGTAACGGTTACTGCCTCAGATGTGGACAGAGATATCTGGGTTATTTAAATTATCTAAGTTAATTTATTGAAGTTAACTCAGATGCAAGTTAATGTCTTAAAGCATACTCATTGTCACACCTTATGTGTCATCACTGCTCCTAGAGAAAGTCTGGCTCATGCCTGGACAGGAAGGGAAGTTTTAGGTGCAACAAAGGTTCATCTCTGAATGGAAGGAAAAAAGAGATGGGGAAATGTGTCATTCTGAATTTGTTGTGGAAGAACCTGTAGGCTGCACTTACATGATTTCCATGAATTTTCTGGCACCTGCAGGGAAAAAAACCAAACTACTTCTATCATTGATTGGGCACTTGCTATAATTTCAGTGTAGATACACATCCATATGCCTACATTTTTTTTTCTCGTTTGCACTCCCTCCCTTGTAGCTGTTCAGTGTCCTGGAACAGCTCCGGTTCGATGAGCAGGTGCGAGTGGTGGTGTTCAAGAGCCAGGTGAAAGGAGTGTTTTGTGCAGGTGAGTAGCAAAGGCTCTGCAAACTCTTCTCAAAAAATGTGGTGGCTCTTAGAGCCATGCACCAATCAGATCATGCAGAAAAGCAGTTGGAAATGAATGCTAAAATAAATTTTAAAAAATCTGTGAAAAAGGCACAGAGGAGCACCCTCGTTACTGCTGCAGCCCAAATGTCCACACTCCAACTTCCATGGACCTTACTTAACTGGAATGCTGTATCTCAAGACTTTTTAAATGGTCTGTCGTCTGAGGGGGACTGGAGAGAACACTTCAGATGTCTTTTCCTAGATTCTAACCTTTTTCTCCTTTATTTAGGAGCAGATTTAAAGGAACGTGCAAAGATGGATGATGCAGAAGTTGGAGAGTTTGTTAGAAGACTGAGAAATCTTATGGATGAAATAGGTAAAGGATTATGTCAGTTGGAAAATTTATCTAGATCACCTACTGAAATATTTAGAAATGCTGTAGGAGGAAATAACTAGCAGGTTATCCACCTAGGATTAGCTTTCCAAATGGCTTCAGCTTATGCCTGAAAGAGAGATCCAATTAGAATTAAATACCAACCATCCTGCTGCCCCTTCCCAAGGACAAGATGCATTTCTTATCCACAACAAAGCACATACATACCTATGTAATAAATACCTGCTCTAAGTTCTTTATTCCACACTTCTGTGGAATCCTTGGGAAGCAAGTTCTGTGTTGCTTGTCCTACTTCCAGTACATGTTTAGAAACACTCAAAACATGGCAGAGACCTAAGAACATGGACTTGAATCTCTGAATGGATTTGCTAAATGGATTTGTGGAATGTCGGGACGGGGGTTGTATCTACAACTCCCTTGCCTCCCTTTTTCTTTGTAAAGGAATATGAACTTCTGCAATTAATTTTCTTTCCCTGTCTATGAACTATTCTGCTCTCACTAGAAAGAAATGAAATACCTAAGTAAAATCTAAAATACCAATCAGAATTGCAATAATTTTAAAAAAATTACAGAAGCAGTCAGGGTAGTTACAGGAGAGAACTAGCTCACCTCTGAAGTTTGCATCCAGCTGCCTGAGTAGTTAAAGTATCAAGCAGCTAATCTCCAGATACATCAAGTTCCTCAACTATGAGGCAACCTGGTTAAACAGTGTTTACTGTTCCTGTTTTCAGGAGCCTTGGCTAACAAAAGCAGCACAAAAACTGAACATTGTGACAGGGCCTAGGGAGGGTGTCTTTTCTTTGGCTGTTTAACTGCAACAGATGAATATGCACGTCATAAATTTGCAAGGAGATGATTGATCCCATTTGTGTTACACCACTTTGTGTTTGAAAGCTTCTCTGTATGGAAGAAGCATGTTTTGCATTCTTACTAAGAAAGGAGAAGTGCACAAAGGTAATTTTTGCTGTTTTCAGACCGAAAATTTGTGTCAGAAGAAAACAAGTTCTTGAACAATTATGAACTGAAAGCTTTAGAACGTAAGGATTTAAATTGCAGGACCGTGTGAAACAGAACTTGTGGAACACAACTGTGCAATCTGTGCTCTCTTCTGTAGCTGCCCTGCCTGTGCCCACGATCGCTGCAATCGATGGCTACGCCTTGGGTGGTGGATTGGAGCTGGCCCTGGCCTGTGACCTCCGAGTAGCAGGTTTGTGTTACTCAGTGTAGCAATCTCCTGGCAATTGATGGCTGCATTTTTAAGAGAATTTACACACGTGACAGTGGATTGTTAATGGAATCCAGGAGCTTGAGTGACATTTAACAGAAGGTTGTACAGAAATTGGACATTCAGTTACTATTTGGAAAGTAGTTCCTATGCTTAAAAAGTAAAGCCTATTTTTAGGTAAAATTAGGTTTCCTCTAGAAAACTATTTATTAGTAGGATTGAATAGTTATTGTTAACTTAATACTGGATCAGATATACTCTGGCTAGATCTAACCTTCCCAACTTAAATCAGTTTGGGTTGAAAGACATTTCTTCTGTTTCCATGCTTCCATCCATTGTATTTCATCAGGGACCTGAGGTTCATTTTTCTAGCTAAAATTGCTATACAGGGGTAAGCAGACTTGAGCTGGACATTGAGAAAGTATTGTAGTATTCAGAGTTTTGGGCTACCTGGAGAAACGGAGTTCCAGTTCAGTATTGACAGTTTCTAATTTTATTGATCAATCTGGAAAAGTTCTAGTTATACAAATCAAAATGTAGCTAACCCTACATTTATTTTTTAATAGCTTCATCAGCTAAAATGGGCCTTATTGAGACCACACGAGGACTTCTGCCTGGAGCGGGTAAGCTTCATTAAAACTTAACCTTCATTAATATTCATAAAATCTCACTTTCTCAGCTATATTGTAAATATTTTGCCATTGGAGTATGTTCTTGAACACTTGAAGTGTTTTGAAGGTAAATTAGAAGTAGCATCTTACAATCATGAAACAGATCTATGAATCAAGAGTTCTGTCTCAGACATACACTGAATTTAGGGAAGTCCCTTTACACCTTTTCCTTTTTATCAAAATACTGAAGCCTTTCAGATTCCTCAAAAAATGTTAATGTATTCAGCCATTAGTTATTAAAGAAACATATGATCCCTTTATTTTTTAAGCCTCCTAAGGTTTTATAAGGAGACAAAATAGTACTGGGGCATTTGTCAGAAATGGAAAATGGTGTTTTCCCTATTGTCCTAAGGTGGAACTCAGCGCCTGCCCAGATGTGTTGGAATAGGTCTTGCAAAAGAACTCATTTTCACTGGCAGACAGGTTGATGGAGAACAGGCAGCTTCCATGGGGCTGGTAAATCATTCAGTGCCACAGAACAGCGAGGGAGATGCAGCTTACCAGAGAGCTTTAACTTTGGCTAAAGAAATCCTGCCCCAGGTAAGTGCATTGTTCATGGGACCAATGTAAAGACAGCATTTGTGCTGTCCTTAAGAGAGAGCAAACAAACACCTGAAATTCCTTTCTCTGAAATACTGATGTCTTGGTTCCTGATCTTTAAGTCTGTTCCTTTTTGTGAATGCAGTTTTTGTAGGAACAAGTGTTCTAACATCCAGCTGCTTAACCCACAGGACAGTTTTACCCCCTAGCTGCAGCCACACAGACCTGCAGGACACATTGAAACCTCACACCGTATTCATCTGTGAACTGCAGACAACACCAAATTGATTTTTTAAAAAATACTTAATAACTTACTGCAAATTTCTGTAGACTAAAATGTCATTTGGAACTAGGATGATAATACAATAACTAATCTATTATGAATTAATTTTAATTTATTAAAAATATTTGTTGTGGTTTGGTTTTGTTTTTAATAAAGGCACCGTTTGCTGTGAAAATGGGAAAACTGGCAATAAACAAAGGAATAGAGGTAACAATTATTTTTGTTTAAATACTGAGGTGAATGAAAAGATTAGCAGCTCTTACAAATTACTACAGTAAAAATGTTTAGAACTGATTACAAAGTTATGAGTTATAAAATTTTTCTTTATATCAGACATTTAAAACCATTTCAGAGGTTTTAAAAATTTTGTTTAAAGATGAAATTAAAATGGCAGGGTTTTTTTTTTTTTCTACAGATAGTAACATGTACTTCTAATATTGGAGTGAAGATCACTTACTATGATTGAGAGTGACTGACTGCTCTCATTGATTTGAGAGTTATGAAGTAGCTTTGAGGGCTGTACTTCAGATAAACCTCACACCTTTCTTCTCTTCTTCCCAGGTTGACATTGCATCAGGGATGGCTATTGAGGGGATGTGTTATGCCCAGGTAAACTGCCTTCAGAATTAATTCCTGAAAGGAACAACTGTACATTAGCTATAGAATGAACTTTACAAATGGTTTTAGTTTAATAAATTCAAAACTATTCCTCCTGTAGTTCTTTGCAGCAAGGTTTGAGAGTGTGCACCTTTCTCAGCTAAAGGAACGATACAGGGTATTACAATATAATGTGTCTCTCAGCATCTTTTAAGATGATGAAGATTATGGAAAATGCTTTTCTTATATAGATCTATGGGGTTTTTCTTAGGTGCTTTGTTTGTGAGTTACACTACAACCCTGTCTCTTTTTTCCTAATTTCAAAACATGGAACTTTATCATTGAAAGAAATGCAATCTTAGTCTTGGATCATTACTGCCAAATTAGGCAGGACTTAAAAACATATCAGACTTGTAAATGGAAAACATACCTTTCTTTTATTTTTTTTTCTCATGTAGAATATTCCCACCAGAGACCGTCAGGAAGGGATGGCTGCCTTCAGGGAGAAGCGACCACCTCGGTTCACCGGCAAATAACACTTTCTGCTTCCCCTTGAGTCTCTGGAGATAAAGCAGGACTGAGGAGGATCCACTGATTTCTTATGATTATTTTTATGACACCATTCTGTGCACTTAACTCCTTGCCTAGGACTGCATTTCTAACTACTCCACTGGATCATTTTTCTGTACAAATCTCCAAATAAAGATTTAACTTTGTACACCTGATCTTTAAAGCACATTCACATGAAGTCAGTAGATATGGCTCTCAGACAGATGTCAAGTAAGGAATATAGAGAAGCTTTGGCTCACCATAAGCAAATAAAAAAAAAAACACCAAAACACAGTGCATCCTAACAGTAAAAACAAACACTGGAGAGAAATTTGATTTATAAAGATGTATCAATGCTCTTCCAACTCCTTTGACAGAACAAGCAGTACCAGCACAGAGCAGTGGCCCTTCATGGCAGCTCTGCTGTGAGTAGTGCAACACTGACCCAACTCCAGGAACCCAAACTCACCTCCCTTTGGAACCAGTGCTTGAGAAAACACAGGGCTGTGTACGTGCACAGATATGTAAGGCCATCACATCAGCCTATGCCAGACAGGCTGAGCACATAAATATCTCTCCATCACCTCCTTTCCTCTGTTGGCTGACTGGAAGTTGAGGTTATTTTCTCCCTATGGTTTGAGTTTCTCCAGCACTAAAATGTGCCACACAATTTAACTCTACAGCTTCTTACTTCCCCCTTAATGGGGCTTTCAAGCTGAAGTGAATTAATCAGCATATGTAATTTTAGGAAATGATTTATAGCTTATCAAAATAAGATGTGGCTTACCACATTGGAACTTCATGCTATGATAGTATCAAAGGAAACCACAGTTTCACTTGTGCGAAAAGTGTGTGGGAACCTTACCAAATTATACACATACAAATTTTCTAAGTAAAAATCTGTATAGGTAAAGCAGAGTCAGGATTTTCAGCCTTCACAAAAGATGGCAAATGCTACAGGTGGAACACAAAGCTTAAAAGTTGATTCCAGAATTATTCTTTCCTGGCAGAAACTCCTGAAGTTGCACAGGAGTGTGAAGAGACCTTTCTATAAGTGGCATATACAAATAGATACAGTGCATTTATACTTTGTAGGCATGCAGAGTTTTCAGCTTGAGAGAATTCAGCTCACTGATTGCCTGAAGTGTGGGAGCAAAAGAAAATGAGTATTTAGCATCCCTGTGCTTGCCAGTTGCAGAACTTCATGAAGTGACATGTCTCACAGAGATGTGACCTGATGCCAACATCATCCTTGCCTTCTGTGCTGCATGGAGGAGTAATTTTTTTTTTTCAGTTAAGTTGCTTCAGCAAATTCTCCTGTCATTAGGAAAAGACGGCACTGTGAGGAGAGTTGTCATCTTTATTTTAAAATCTTGTAGCAATTGATTTATATTCATTCTGTTGACACCAATTTTGACAAGTTTTGTATTCCATTTTATGTAACGGAAATTCCATAGCAGACATCTTAGAAGGTTGGTGGGTAAAAGCCTGTAGGCTGTTTTTAGTTTTTAAACCACCTTCATAATTCAAAGCTACAGCCAGCTGAATTTCTGTTGGAATTGAGAAAACTTTATATAACCAGATCCACAGATGAAAATTATGCCAGCCAAAATTATACTCTTGTACAAAAAACAATTACACAACACTGATTAAATTACTGGATCAGTACCTTTTGAAGTCACTGAAGTACATATTAATTAGGTTATTGAAGATTAGAGGTGGTGTTTTCATGTCATGGATGGGAGTTGGGAGGGAAAGGATTAAAAATAGTAAAATATGGTCATCATGAAGAAGCCATTTCTGCTAGTAAGCTACCAAACATAAGTTTTCTTTTTAAATTCAATTACCCAATATTTACAGAAGAATCTCTGAATATCAATCAGTTGCCATGGAAATATGGAGACTAAGCAGATAAACAAAAACAACACCTGAAATTAAATTGAATTTGAATGGACATGCAGTTTGCTTCCATCACTCACATTGTATCAGGCATCTGTACACTCTGCAATATTTTTCATTCAACACATGGTTTGACACCCAAAGGTAACCAAGAAAGAAATAAGTTGTTACAATTAGCATCTTTATGTAAAATTTCACACTCCACAAAACAATGCAATTGACACAAGGGCTTACACAGAACATTGGGCGATATTTTGCACTCACTGTGATGGCTTGGAAATATAATTCACTGCACAATACTGACAGAATATTTACAGAAAATAAGAGCAATCATTAGTCTCTTATAAATAAGGTGACCAAATATCCCAGCCTTCTATGAGTACATGCAACCCCTCCACGATGAAGTCATGTCAGTTATTTTGCTCTAATGAGCCTTCTCCTATCCCCATCAGTATTCCAAAAACAAAAGAAAGATACCACACACAACCAGAAGTAGTCACACAACAAAACCCCATTCTTGTTATAAAATTTAAATTCTCAAACATCCTTTTAGTACTGTCTCATTTTAGTTCCGTTTCTACTGCTTTACTTCAGTGGGTTTCCCCTTTCCCTGAATGTGATGCTGGTCCCCACCTTGACAGGAGCATGGGGGACTCTGGAGAAATGAACTATAAAAAGGCATCATCCCAGCAGTAAGGAAAACAAAAGAACATGGTTTGCAGGCAAAAGGAAAAGGAAGATGAAGACCCCATTTGTGTCTAGAAGGGTTATGAGACAGTGGACATTTTGGTCGCCTTAGTTACAAGTCTCTCTGTCACCTGCATGCATGGACTTTTGTTTTAGTCTGTAAGTGTTGATCTCACAATCAAACACAGTTTTATTCAAACACCAAACTGGTGAACAGTGTTATGAACAATCACAAGGATGGAATAGCCTTTTCTCCCAGAAGTCACAAAACAAGATACTCCTTGAAGTCTTCTTACCAGCTGTGCAAATTGATCTGTACAAGTCCCATCTCCTGGTAGCCAGCACTAACCCTACAGGCATGACCAGCTCAAGCTGTGACCCTTTACAAGTTGTGTACGAGGTTGCCATTAAGGTGACGTTCAGCAAGGTTACCACACATGGCTTGGGTACCACAGTTACCAGCAAATCACTTTAATGGTGACCGATATATTATAAGTTACTCCAGCTACACACATATCAGAGAGGATTATTACAGAGACAATACTTTACACTCCTCTACCTGCAGCTTTCAGTTTGGTTTGGTTTGTTGCTGTTTTCTACACGGTGGTGGTCTCCCATGGCGCATAATGTGTTTTTCTAAACTATCCAGGATGGCAACAGCAATCCTTTGGACATGGGGATCAGTGTGGACATTTTCCTTGATGTTGTACAAATGCTGCAAACCACCTTCTTCAATTAACATGCTGCAGTATCTGGCAGCTGTAATAGAATTATATAGAGGGAATTAAAACCAGAATTATCTAGGGTAAAGGTAGCAGATACTTGTAAACACTGATTCAAATCCACTTTTGTCTCCAGGCAGTATTTAAGACACCCCCTAAAGTGTCCACAGAAATGCATGAATACTATAACAAGTGACAACACAACAGAGTTATTTGGACAGGACTCCAGCTGTAATCAGGTCTCTTACCAGTCCGTCTCAGCTGATTGGAAAGTGCCCTGTGATATGCACAGCATTCTCTTCCTCCCACCTCCTCTACAGGCATTTAAAGTGCACATAAAAAATCCAGAAGAAATGGGAATCCAAAGCACTATAGTTTCTATGACTCTAGGTAATAATAGCCCTTTTCCCAAAAATCTCAGTACGGAACAGTTACCAAAAAACGGTATCAGATATACCACATCATCTGTCCAGGCTTGGAGAGTGAATACAAACTAGTTCCTTCCAATAGTTTACTAAATGTATTGATGGTAGCCTCTCATTAGTTTTAAGTTTCTACAAGTACCTTTCCAGGGTTTTTTCCACTTACATTCTGGAATTTACTAAGTTGAAATCACACCCCCATCAGCTGCAGCATTATTAAGAGCAGGGAACAGCTATAAAAAGAGCTGTAGGGTGAATGTAATGTGCAAGCTCCAGAAGTTGTTATGGAAAGGTCAGGATGACTGTAATGCAATCCACAGGGCATTACCTCAGATGGGCCCAATTTCACCATTCATCTCAGTGATGCAACACCAGACTTGTTTTAATGCTGATGTTGAGCATTTCGCTGGGGATCACATTTACTGTGGCGCTACTAAATATTTCAGCTAGGTTACCTCACTGAGGTCACTATGACACAAACAGCAGCAGAAGAAAAAAATATACCAAAAAAATTAAACCAATTACTTCCAGACTACTTTACACTGTCATCTATAAGAGAGGGTCAAAACAAAAAGCATCTCCTCTCCATGACTACTAAAAGCTTTCTTGGTACAAAGCACCAAAAGCTGAAGATTTCCCGCCTAAATACAACTCCTTATTTCAGAATTAAACAAATTTTCCTCCAGAGTAGGTTATTATATTTGCTACTAAACATTTGGTTTCTCTGCAACTTTGTCCAGAAGCTTCTGCCATCAACTACCATCAGAACTAAAGGAATTCTGTCTTGGTCTCAAGTCAGGAGTAGGCCAATACAAACCTCAGTAGCATGTTAAAAGCTCAGAGGTGAGGACAGACAAAATACTAAAAATAAACAGAACAAATAGGACAACACAAAGTTAACAGGACTGAGGCACAAAGAGGAATTACAGGGCCTTATTTAAAATCTGTTATCCAGATCTGATCAGTAAAACAACTCTGTCAGAAGAGTCTGACTTCAACGTGAAAAACCTCACAGATTTCTGCACAGTACCCTGAGAACAGAGGCTCATTATATTTATGAGCTCTATGAAGGGCAGCAAAACAGTATTCTCTGTGCAGTTATACATTATGTCATGCTATTGGTTGGTCCTGAATAGATTCCTTATCACTGCAGCAATAGTGATTTATGGGACAGGGATAAACAAGCCTAGATATGCAGCCATCAAGGAGATTAAAAACTGGCACAGAAAACACTTCAAATACTTCAGAAGGAATCTGCTTTATATAGATATATTCATGCCAAAAATTTCTGTTAAAAAAAAAAAACATAAAAACATTAAGAGCAAGGTTTGTCCCCTCCTGCATTTAGGTATGGTTGGGGGATTTAGCTCCTTTTCCCAACACTTGTGCATTACATCAAATGCTATCAAATCATTCTACTTCCCATTTTGCAGATGGGAAA